TAGTGTGCCAAGAAGGCAAGCTAGGAAAGAGGGAGAAATACCTTATATACTGCCCTTTTTAAAGGGCGACTAGGGTTTTAGGGGACCTAGTTGCCAAATCCTGGGTGAGGAGAATCATCATCAACACCCTTTTAGTTCGGCCGCCACTGTAGAGATATTAGGTATTTTTTGGAAGCAGGAAAAATGAAAAATTAACAACGCCTTCGCCGGGAATCGAACCGCAGACCTCTGGAATACCGACCCAGTGTGCAGAACCACTACACCACGAAGGCACGTCAAGAAGGTGGGAGAAATACCTTATAAGGTATTTGAAAATTATCCTTTTTGGGAGAAATTCCGTTTCAACAACAAACGGCCAACCTCCGCTCCCTAAATTCGGGGTTGGCTACGTCCGTGATTTATTATTATTATTATTATTATTATTATTATTATTTTCTTTCTTTCTTTTATTTCGTCAGAAAATGTTTTTCTGACTTCGAATATATATTTTGTTCAGTTGTTGTGCTAGGCCGTTTTAATTATATGAAATAAGCAATAAGAAAAGCCGTGACATTTTCCTCTATCTCTTTTTCCGTTTCCTGTCCACAACATTAGTAGGCGCACAACATTTCAGTATTTGTTCTAATTATAAGAGCATTATCAATAAAAGTGCAATGCCGCTATAATTATAGGTTTTAGTCGTAATATTCTGAATAAAACTGAGCAGAAGATCATGCCATTGAACCCAGTAGGAATTATAAATCTTATAACTTCACAGATTACCTTAAAACGAACAGATGTCATGTCATGCTCAAACCCTAAATGCATTCTTTTTCTAAGAAAACGTGTACCAACTGATGTTTACAACAAAAAAATAAAGGTTAAAATATAATACCGTAAATACTATCAAGGTTTAATATTGATTGTCTTCCTATGAATCCAGTTGTTTAAGAATTAAGACTCTGATTAATTCTTTCCTTAGTCATCATTTCAGACCATTGAAAATATACTGCCTGTGGTATGGCAGATATCTTGCGGATAACCTTCACTTTAAATTACATTCGTTAATGGTAGATTGGATGACAAACTGTCGCGTCACGTAGCAGTTATCATCCACTTTCCTGTTGTTAAAAAGGTGGCCTATGTCAATGACTTCCTTTCGCTTTTGATTTTGGAGCTTTAGAAAGAATCGTAAATTGCTTCAAGATTGTCTGAAGTAACTTCAGCAGAAGCTGATTATTAAAAGCTATTTTGATGACTAGCTTACAAAAGACGTCATGAAAGTATCTCCATAGCATAAAGCACAGCCATGAAACTCCGTTATTTGGGCAAAAATTAGACTTCCCTTTAAAAGGCTTGAAAATTTTTCAACAAAATAAATCAATTCAGAATAAAATTTTAAAAAAAGTATACATGAAATTCATAGAAATTTGACTTCCTAAATCATGATCTACAAGTGGTTGACATAGAACCTTAAAGATCGATATGACACTGAAAGTTGTCAATTCGGACATAAGAGTCGATTTTCACCGATTGGGCTCATGAGAATATTAAATCAAGAATCATTAAATTGTACCGACTTAAAAATTAATTGCCATGGTATTATATATATGTTTGTGTTACCTTGAAAAACAGAAATCTGGAGAATGTCAATATTCACATAGTCACTTAGTATATATCCGAAATATTTGCTAAATATTCTTATTTCTCACTTACACCAGCAAATGTCGACATTCATCATGCATTGGTGGTGAATGTTAAATAAAAATACTTTTGTTTCGTTTTTAAATCATACCTTATTATTAAAACATATTATGATATATGTCAAAATAGAAGAAAGCTTAAGTAACAGCACACGGAGATAAATTGTTGAACTCAAAACGACAGACAACATTAGAAATGAGAAAAAGAAAAATGACACCAATGATAAACTTACTTAATTATGTGACTAATGTTACACAATCTTATTTATTCCAACAACTTAAACTGTTATGACACTTCGAATTGCACAAAAGTCCCTTGCATTTCCAACGTCTCTCTGTCTTTCGTTCTCCACCACAGCATTCGTGTGTTTATCAACATACACCCTTGATGGGCCGATTGTATAAAAATATAACAAAATATTCGGTTTTCCCAAACGTATTTGGTATGTGTTGACACTCACCGGAGAATGTCGACATTAGATAATTTTGGTCTTTCACGATAACATATATAATTAATTTTTATTATGAAGAGAAGGAGAAAAAAATTCATTACTTGTATTATATGTTTATTGTTAAAATGTAAATAATCAAAATTAAATCCCCTGCAGCGTTGTGCTCAAAACGAAACCTCTCACTTTCAAATAATTTGATTTAAAGGTTATGCCCACCAGCAGCAGAACGGTAAAGTAGCTGAACACTGGTAGTTCAGTCAAGGGTTCGAATCCTGGCGAACTAGCTGGCTATTTTCCGTGGTTTTCTCCCATGTGTAATGCGTATACGAAACAGTTTTCTTTAGAAAGTCCTCAACAAAAGCATCCCTCTTTTCAGGCAGGTAGCCCTCAAGTGCTTTGCCATACTTAAAATAAACCAAACCAAAATCTTATTCTAGGTTGATAGTTTTCATTGATAGTAGATGAAACACTCTGCATTTCATCAACCATCATGATTTGGATCTATTTCCATTGGTAACTTTACTGGAAAAAAAAAATGTGTCTGACAATATCAACCTATAGCGGCAGCTAAACGGCTAAAACCGCTGAACACTGGTAATTTCACTAGAATGCGAATCGCAGTCTGGTGTCTGGGGCGCTTTTATGCTTCCCCGTGTATTAATGAGTCCTCAGTTCTGTAATGAATTGAATAAGTGAACGCGTGAAACTCGCTACTGTATGAATTGGATGGGAATGAGAACAGGAGAATTTAAAAGCAGAGAATAAATCCATCATAAAAATTATATATGCGTTTTGAAGACTTGTCGATAAGATTAACGAAATAAAGTTGTAGAGTTATTAGGTTAATTGGAAGCAGAAAAGATGAAAAATATGCAACCGCCTTCGCCGGTAATCGAACCACGGACCTCTGAAACACCGGATCTGTGTGCAGAACCACTATACCACGAAGGCACGCTAGGGAAGTGGGAGAAATACCTTATAAAGTAATAAATAAATAAGATTTAAATATATATTAAACGAAGATGGATAAATTATTTTATTGTTTTATGTTATAAGATACCGCAACAATGTGCAGTAAAGTTAACAAAATAAATCAGGAAATTAATTTGAAACTTCACTATGCACGATGTTTCGAGTAAAGAGATTGTTAAACATTAATAAACACTGATCAGATGCGGGTCCCCGCCACACACGTTTTTTTTTTTCCCCTCCGCCTTTTCTAATAAAAGATGCAATCAAAAAATATGAGCCAGTTTTTCTTAAAAAGTTCTCTCTTAACACAGCTCTCGTGTGCTTTTATATAAATACAATAATATAAATTAGCTTTTCATAACTCTAGATAATTTCATCCAGTGCAGCACCTCAGAAAGTCCACCATCAAAGTACACTTTTCTTTACGCAGATATTCACTGAAGAGGGTCGGACTGTCAGTCTTAGTGGATTGAATCACTAAAGCTGCGAGTAAATTCTTTGTTTTTGGTAAGACTGGCTTTTGTTATGCGCTTTTAAAAGCAGGTATAATCTTCGCAGAGGAGCCTGGGTGTAAAATTTAGAAATGTTTACGCAATCAGAATATGGGAACAAAGCCATCAGAATTATCAAAGCTCAAATTGATATTATTCTTACATAATTATTCTTTAGCGGCAATGATAAGAAAAAGCAGAGAAAGCTGAAGATGCAAGAATATTTTCTTGCTATTTCTTAAAAGGAATTAGTTTTAGAAAGTTGAAAATAATTTCCTTTGCCAAAACTTGATGCAGTAATTAATTAGTTCAATTATTTCTGTCTTCTGACGTTCTTCTCTTGTTTGATAATATTATTTATGACTGAGATTCCATACACATAAAAACCAAACCCCTCTCAATTTTCCTATTAAATAGAATTATAAGATGCTAGTTCATAGCTACTGACATTTCATTTAATAAAGACCCTATACGAGTAATACAATACATAGTTTTATGTTCGTTCTTTAAACGGAACCCAAGTTTTCGATAATAAAATATTCTAATGTACAACGACTTCGATAATGAAAATTAAAAATTCGTATCGAATTCTGCTATGAGCATTCAGATGTTGCCAGACAATAATTCTTACTTGAAAAATTGATTTACAGACTTTCGAAATTTAAGTTTTAAATCATTAAAGTTTAGGAACTCATGCGAGGTATAGCTGAAACTTTCTTACAAGCCATATTGATTTTAAAAGAGTACATGTATAATTTGAGCTTTCTCAAGATAGGAAATTAAAATAATAATCTCCAATTTTGGGTAGGAGAATACAAAACAAATCTTGATACTAATTTATTAGTTAGACACAATATACAGAAACGTTGTGCTTCAGAAAATAATTTTGAAACTGATTGTGGAAATTTCATTCATTATTTTACCTGACAGCCAGCCAAAAAAATTTTCATATCTCTGAAAAAGCGTAAAATGACAAACAGGGATTCACAAATATTTATTTCATGTGCCGTTAAAAGTTCAAAGAGATTACAAATTATGATTAGAAATGTTATTAGTTTCATTCAGAAATTATGGTGATTTTTTATTTCATTAATATTCGCTTATAGTTATGCAAATTGAATCTGTACTTTAATTTTCCCCGACTTCCTTTCTTTTTAAATTTCTTTTTTCTTTTCTATAGGATTACTTCGAATTATCTTTTGCATTCTTATTTGAATTGGAGGTTTTAAGTCTATTCGTTTTAGATTCGTGAAATTAAAGCTCTTGAAAGAAGGGTAGTTGGGTTTCCCCCCCCCTTCCCGAGCAGATCAAAATCTGTAACTTAGCAGCTGCACACGAGCGAAGCAAAGGATAAACAGCCAATTATTGCAAACAGCTCTTTTCAAGTGGCTGAGGTGGCCACAAGTGCCAAAGCCTGCAGACACCACGCGAGAGAAGTGTTTTCTCAGTTCGTCAGTATCCTGGTTTCCTGATCCTATGTTTAGAATTTTTACGTTATTAAAAAAAAAAAGTAACCTTCTTCACATGGCATTTTAGCGAACAGCTAGACTAAGATAGTTGCAGTTTATAGAATAAAATTTAAGCTTTTTCGCATGAGTTCTAAATATCATGACTAACTATCAATGACTTTAGAATCGGATTATTTTATGTAAAATAAAGCGGGAATTTGTATGCACAGTTTCAAACAATAATCATAACTGATATTTGTGATGGAAGATTACGCACCGCTGGAATGTCGAGGCTATCTGATAACTCTCCAAAGTGCACTATTAGCAGAATGTCAACAAATTACGGAACGCGATGAATTTGCGCGGGCAAATGTTCTTGAAGTAGGTTGCGGTTACGGTGCAACGACAGCCCAGATATCGGATTACTGGCCCCACAATCGAGAAGTTCTCGGTATTGATTCTAATAAAAATGCAATTAATTATGCATTCACATTTGTGGCAGACGAAAAGATGGATTTTGCCTATGCAAATATTGAAGACCAGAGTACATTCGATCTCACTTGGGCGGGAAAATTTGACTGGATTTTTTCATCTCAAGCATTATTCTTTGTGAAAGAACATGCTACGGCTCTCAGGAACTTGATGTGGTGTTTGAAACCTGGTGGAAAATGCTTTATAGCTGTCCCTGCTGCAAAACCTTCTGATTTTCATGTAGCAGCGAAAAGAGTTTTGGGTGCTGATTGTTGGAAACGCGAATTCGAGGTAAGTCAGGACAAGTTTCACTTTTTAACATATTTCTATGTATTAATTTAAATGGTGTGTTTCCAGGCATAAGTTATGTGTTACATTAGTGTAAACAATGCATGAAGCATGATGCAATCCTGTATGTAATATTATTTTTAAATCGTCTTATGACATAACATCAGTTTTGCGGTTCTAGGCCAAATCCAAGTATAGACGCTTAAGCAAGCAACATCTCATAGGGCGTAACCTAAGCTATTGTCTTAAACGACAGCTAAATTCATGTTTTGCTTTGAGTTATTAATGTATTACATTTAGATGGGATGGCAACTGTACTGATTGCCTGCCGCCCAGCCAGCAAAGTGATGCTACATCAGTGGACATTGGTTCGAATTCGGAGAAGGCATGGATGATGTATGGTATCTGTGCGCAAAGGGGCACTCAAAATAAACGGCAAGCTGAAAGTCCTCTGGAGAAGTTGGTAGCAGGAAAAGAGGAGCAGGAGACCCTCGAACCCCCCCCCCGTGGGAGGGAAGTGGGGCGGAAGCTTAACAGTTAGCAAGGCCAGCGATACCTAATACATACCTACCGGAATGCACAAGTGCCGGGCTTGCTTCAACATTTACTGGTTTAGAGTGGACTTACCAATACTAAGTGATTGAAATTAGAAAATGTATGTGTATGTAATTTAAGTAAAAATCTCACAGAATGCATTTGTACGCGTCCGGCATCGCTTGCGACCTATTAAAGTACCAACAGTAAACATGATAATATGTCGTAAATTGGTGAGTTTGGTTTGGTTCCTCTTAAACTTTAGATGTATGCTCGAGTTTATTTTAATTTTATTTATTCGTTTGGTGATACTGTGATAGAATAATGATTCTAAAAAACTTTGCAAATTTTAACCACTGGCACGGGAATACTAAGCCCCTGACCTCTAAACGACATGGGTTTGAATTGCTTGGTTCCTCATACACGCAGATATTTTTTTCATGAATATATTAGAAAATTTCTTGAAGAGTTCCTATATTTTTTGAAAAACCTATAGAGAGCTGTGTACGTTAGATGTACCGAAAATATTAAGAAAAAGTTGGATATAAAAACTGGAATGTTATTTTATCATCACTGAGAGCGCGCGAGTTTCAAATGTAGTGGAATTTTTATAGGGAATGGATGAGACGAGCTCAGGTATTATCGGCTGTTCGTAAGAACGACTGCTTGTAACCGTAATAAGTATGTTATTAACTAATGGCAGTAGGTAACTAAAAACTTTTGCTTTTTTAAAGGTTCTTAAAAATAATAATTCTCTGTTTTGAATGTTCATTAAATTTTTCCTGTAATACGTGAAAGAGTTTAAAGTTTATGACCAGGTTCGATTCCAGTATTTTCCGTGTCGTAGGCGATTAGTACAGTTGACGCCCCGACTAAATCAACGATTTTAAGAATTCAAAGCAAACTGTCGTTTATAAGAACAACTTAGTCGACACCCTAAGTGCTTGACTGTATCTCTTATGCTTGCAGTTGGTTCTATAGTTTCGAGTTTTAATCTTGAAGATAGACTCAGTAACACAAACAAGACTCTCATATAGCAAGAACACGCGCAAGCAAACCATGAGGCTTGTTATCACTATCACACTGCTGTGGTTCCTGTCTGCCCTATACTTTGCAACTCGTATTTTCAAAAAATTAATATATAAATAAAGTGAAAAATAAACTTCAATGTTAGATCCATCCGAGATCTTGTTTACATAAAACAGAAAAAAATATATATATATTTTTAATCCAATGGGACGAAAGCAGTTCGTCAGGAATGGCCGAACCCATCTTTCTTTTTTTTGGGGCCCACCAGCGGCCGAGCGGTAAAGTCGCTGAACACTGGTACTTCGGTCCGAGGTTCGAATCCCGCGAACGGGCTGGCTGCATAGGCGTTTCGTGGTTTTCCCCATGTGTAACGTGTATACGAGCCAGTTTCCCTTAGAAAGTCCTCCACGAAGGCATCCTTCCCCTTAGGCAGATAGCCCTCGAGGCTTTGCCATAATCACACACACCAACACCACACCTTTTTTTTGGGGGGGAGGGGGTTATCTTATGACCGTGAAAGTAAAACATTAATAAGTTGCACTTCAAATAAAAGATCGATATTGCACCTGCAAGAAGAGGGGGAACGATACAGACTTACGCGAGTGTTAGACCCATACCCAAGAGTTCGAATTAATAATTCACGCCCCGCTACTACTTATTTTATTGGGTGACTCAAAATGAAACCATTCCAGAGTGGAACACAATACAATTTCAAAATGATTAACGCACATGAATTGAGAAATAGTTTTCCTAAGCCTTGCACTCTTTTCTAGATAGCGTATTTATTAATGTATTAGAAATCCATCAAATAAAAATTCATTATTATTTAAGCTTAGATAATTCTCTGTAATATCTGTCTCCCTCCTCCCTCCAATTTTTATAGAGAATATTACGCATTAACTGTTCTTGTTCGTCTTCGCATTCAAGAACTAATTTTTCTTCGCATCTGATTTTCGTCAGTGAAAACCACTATCCTGGAATACATGTTTACACTAAAAGATGTTTGACGTCTTGGTTTTTAGCATTCTAGGGTACCGAAATGAAACATTTGTTCCACTTGGCAAAATGCCCCGGTTTTCTCATTCTGTTTCTTTATTTTTCCTGCCCGATTCTTAAAACTATAATTAAATTTTTTCACCCGGTATGACATTTTCTACAGAGTAGGCGCACATTAAAAATTTATCTTTTGCGGAGATCAATTTACCCTTATGTCTCTATTCAGGAGCATATTATTTCCTTTTAAACGTTATCGCATTTAATATTCTAGCGAACCCCCTCCCACCTACCGAAAAAAGGAATCCGTATTCGATCGTCCTCGAAATCGAAAGTTTTATTCAAAAATCTATGCAAAACTAAATTTTCTTCTTGGCTAATTTTAAATTTCCGAATATATTTTTTAATTTATGAAAATGGAGAGCATAAGATATTTAATAAAAGATCGTATGGTATATACCTTTTAAACCCTCAAAATTATGCGGTTCATCACTATATTAGTACTGGCTTAATATATAAGCATTTTAGGCATTGCCGGCCATCACGCGAGTATAGACGCCAATATTTTGCAAATCTGTTATTCTTCTTGATACAAATAAGAGCTCCAGAGAGCTTCACAAGTCCTGTCAAAATGATCCTGCACCTCAGACATCTAGCACCACGGCAAAGTGCCTCGTTTCTTCTTTATCTTTAGTTTCTTCTCAGCAGGCGATACTATATTCGGATATTTCTAGTTGCCAGGATCTATAATCGATTATCTCAGAAATTTCGTAAAAGCAAAAAAATCATCTTACTGAGTATCGAAACTCAGTAGCCTCGAAAAATTCAAGAAGTTCAGTATCAAATTTAATAGAAAGCAGCCTGAAGTAAGAGTGCGGACATTCTGATGCCGAATAACCGCTACACAAGTTCGATTTTTGTAAGCAATTACTGATTAATTAATTAAGCAGGAGAGGAAATCAATTCACTCGGCACTTTTGCACGAAATCACTTTACTTGAATTAATGGGCTCGCACTTTTTTAATAGCTGAATTGTCATGAAGGCGTTAGGATGTATATGAAAAACGCTGAACCGGTGTTTGATATTTATTGTTGTTTGTTGTATTTTGATGTTATCGCCAAAATTTATATTTCTTTTGTCGATATTGATAAATGGCTGGTTATTGGTATTGAACATCTATTCTCTAAGCTAATTGCTTCTATAGAAGATCAAAATCGTCGGTCTCAAAAGTTTAAAGGATTCGCAAGTTGTAGCTGTACCACTTAAAACGCTTGCTGGTTCCGATCTCAAAACTTTGTGTGTGTGTGTGTGTGTATGTGTTTAGCTAACCAAATGAAACAATTTCGAGAGCATGGCATGGTGCATTGTCATGCTGAAAGAAGGCTCTTCTGAAAGAGAATATTATTATGGCGGAAGGATGTCTTTTGTCATATAATAAACGATAGCAGTGTTTTTCAACTGACCAATAAATTTTTAATTTTTTTTACTAGAAAATAAACTAGTGAACACACACACACAAAAAAGGTGATTGTTTGTTTTTATAGTAAAATATAAATATTTTAGGATAGAGCATAGAATAATTAAAAAAAACAAGTAATGCAAATTAATTAATAAAATATTAAATAATAGTATAAAAATGTGAGAAAAACAAGATATAATTTTTGGATAACAAAGCGAAACATGAGTATAATTATAGAAGAAAAAAAATTAAAGCCATTGTAGTTGATTCTTTTCAATTAGCAGCTTAATAAGGTTTTGGAGACGTGTGTGGTTGCCTAAAGCGCAGAATGGGTTTATTAACAGAAGACACCTTCTAAATTTAGGGCATCATTGTCAAAAACGTACATCCGCGTAAGTGTGTGGTCGAAAGCGTCATTAATACTTAATGTTTTATCATGCATTTCCAGATAATTTTAATTCATAGCTGAGTTATATTTGTCAAATTAAATAGTAACTGCAATATATCATCTCAACTTAAGTATATGAATTTCTCCTGTAGCAAATCAGGTTATTTCTTTTTCAATAAATACCCGTATTGCCTTTCTGTGTGTCTTACTCGTATGCATAATTGATCAAACATACAAGAAAATCGTGTTAAATGTCCATAAGCAACACGTTTTAGTTCGTCTTTGTTTATCAATTCTGAAAATGAATGAGACAAGCTATTTATTTATTTATGAACGCTGGTAGTTTGGTCCAGGGTTCGAATCCCTGGTAATGGGCCGGCTGTATGGGCGTTTTTGTGGCCTTCCATATGTGTAACGGGTATACGAGCCAGTTTTCCTCAGAAAGCAATCCACGAAGACATTCTTTTCCTTATGCAGGTAGCTATCAAGTTCTATGCCATAGTTAAATAAACCAAAACTTCCCATTACATGTTTACACCGTAGTTTTAACTTTTTTTTGAATGCCTCAATTTTATTCTATAAATCAGAAGTAATATAAT